GGCCTAAATCCAAGTAAGGTTGTATATATATATGGATTGAAGTTTGCATGTGTATATCAATTGATTAAAGTTATGGGTTGTTAACCAAGCGTTTACCTTGGGTAAACGCTTATCAACTCATGTTATCTTAACGGATAAATATGGCAATGATCAAATATTTTATTTGGTAGGAGCGAAAATAAAGACCGAGAGTTGTATTCAGTAAGTGATGGCGACAACTTTTATTACGGTTAGCTTTTATAGGATAAATTGTTGCATAACGATGTTGTATTGGTGGACTAAAATCTTGTCCGCTAAATAAATGATAATGTTAAATTTTACCCGTAAACACTTATCAGGTAAGTATTTAAATAACGGCTGCTTAGCCTACAAATATCATGAAAGGATATGGTTAATTTATATTAATAATTTTATCTTTATTATAAGAGAGGTTGAGGTTGGGGGTGGGGTGGGCGGGGTGGGGTGGGGGTATAGAGAGATAACCAATTAACCATGCATTTGGTTAAAAATAATACATTATGGGTTTATAAGATGTTAAATTTGTGTAAATATTTCAATAGATTATTTTATAGACTATGGCGTAGTGGTTAAGGTTTTGGGGGATGTGGTGGAATAATCTGGGACTTCCTTTCAATATAAAAAATTGTCTAAGTGTTCCAATAGACTATTTTATAGAACATAAGTTTATAGGACCAAACATTAAAATGTTTTATCTAAAGGTGTTGCAATAAGTTTATTGAACGCTTTTAGGCGTCTTAAAAGTTTCTGATGACACTTTTAAATAAAGTGTCATATTAGCTATTTTGTAGAACACTATTTGAAAAAATGTCTTATAAATTATGTGTTTATAAGACAATTCTCAGAATTGTCCTATAAGATAGGTAATACGCATTTATTTTATAAGTGTTCTAAAAACCTTCGTAAGACACCCAAAAAAACTTCTACAACACTTTTAAATATGACTATTTAAATATGTTTGGTCCTATAAACTTAAGTCTTATATAATGGTTTATTAAGACATTTAAACATTGTTAATGTCTTGTGAATCCGATTTTATTATAGTGATAGATGAGAAGGTTTTTGTTAAAAAGGTGATTAATTACGAGTAGGGGTGCACGCGGGTTAGGTTGGGTGGTTTACAACATTTTTACAACTCAATCCAATTATGGCGGTTTGAAAAAATCTCAACCCAACCCAACCCATTCAAAAGTATAAGCAAGGGTTGGGTTGGATTGGGTTGGGTTGGATTGACGGGTTAGTAGTTTCATAAATTTGACGAATGAAATACTTCATAAAGTTTAAGTTTATAGATCATACTATAAAACGTTCTATCTAAAAAGGTTACAATAGGTTTACATGACGTTTTTGGACGCTTCAACAAATGTTTTAGAATGATCTTTAAATAAAATGTCGTGTTAGTTATTTTATATAAATATTTTGAGAAGTGTCCCTAAAACTCATCTATTTATAGGACATCTATGTTTATATACACTTTTCAAGTCGTGTCATATAAAATAACTAATATGATACTTTATTTTAAAAACGTCATAGAATTTGTTAGGACGCCCAAAATCATCCTATAAACATATTGTAACTCTTTTAGATAAGACATTTTTCTTGTTTCGTCCTAATGTCCTATAAAGAATCAAATTAGGACGCTTAGACATTTTAGGCATCCTATAAGATCTAATGTTGTTGTATCGAAATGCTATAACTAAACATTCTATTTCCACTAAGGTATAACATCAAATGACGGGGTATTTAGATTGATGGATTCGTCAACAAAATATCTATTGATATCATTCATATTCTCCGACATATCAATTTGTTGTTGCTGCAAAAAAGATTTCAATAATTTTCTCTTATTAATTAGATTATTTGTCATCATTTTTTGATCGTGAATTATACATAATAAACATATATATATATATATATATATATATATATGTATATATATATATATAATTTTATAAAAATTATATATTAACGGTGGTTTGGCGGGTTGGGTGGGTTGAGCTAGACCCAACCCAATTTCAATCCTCCTAATTAGCGATTTAGCGGGTGGGCGGTTAAAAGAATTGAGTTTAATTGGGTTGTTAACGGGTTGGATTGGACGGGTTTTACGGATTGACGGTTTTTTGTGCACCCCTAATTATGAGCTTAATATTTCTTGGAAGTTTAAATTTGGTTGCTGAACCTAGATTTGATAAGAGTATTGACTATATCTTCATTTTTATAAAATTTGGATGAAAATATGTTTATTCTGTGACACCTCTTTTATTTCTTAGGTTGAATACAATTTTTTTTTATTTCAATTACAAAGAAAACTGCAAAACGTTCTTAATAGAACAAGATATGCCTATATATATATATATATATATATATATATATATATATATATATATATATATATATATATATATATATATATTGAAAGTGTTAGACTTAATAGCGTGCTTGATTTGATGCAAGTATTATCCAAATCGTGATTTATAGTATTGGATGGAGCGTTACGAATATAAATACAGTCCAGAGTTTTCACACACATCGCACTTTTGCTCGAGTCGAGACTTTATGTTTTTTTTTAAATTGAGTTTTGATCTCGAACACTAGTATCAATTAAAGGATTGAACCTCGACTAGTAATTAAGATTTCCCGGTAATGCTAAATTAATTAATTTGTTTATACCCTAAAATTGATTAGTTAATAAAAGTTTCCGGAAGTGACAGTTATTGATCCATAGAAAAAGGCCAAATCCTTTAAGCAACAAAAATATATTGTGTTCAAAATATGAATTCAACAAAATGTATAATGATAAACACAAACTTTGTGATAGTTTAGTTTAGAGGGTAAAGCATGACTGGATTCTGGTTCGTTCGGTGTTAGGATCGTCTTGGTTTTAACCTTCATTCGTCCTTGTGTCCCTGATGTTGGGATGAAGTCGAAACATTACTCATTGTCTAGTTCGTTGTAAACAAGTCTCGGACATATGGGCAAAGTTTGCTTAGGTGATGGGGTTTAGCTTCCTTCAATATGGGCTCGGTTCCAAAAATAGTATCCATGGAAGATCATCCATCGATATCTTCTTCTTCAAAAGGATTTCGGCAAGCGGTTCTGTGGACTGCCATGTACGTAATTTGGAGTTTATGTAATAAGGTGGTGTTTTCTGATCGACTTCGCTTTTGATATTCAACTTCTTTCATATCTTGGGTTAGTTAATCATGTTAAAGATTTTAGTTACTCTTGGCCGAATTGTTGTTGCCATCTAGGAGGGTAATTTTTTAGGTCGTCGGGAGTTATTATTTATAACAATTTTGTATTTAATCATTTTTATTATTATTATTTCATTATTGTATAATTTATTTCAGGTATTGTAATATATATTTGAGTTGTTAATGTATAATGAGAAATTTATATACAATGTATGTTGTATTAAAATATCTAAAAACATCATGTAAAATTAATACATAATTAAATTAATAATATTTTCTCGATATAAATAATTATGTATTTGTATAAACTTTAATATATTTATTTTATTAATAAAAATATAAATGATATAAAGTTAGAATGGTGCGACCCTAAAAAGTTTGAAAATGCTATAAAAAAACTTGGATGAAATTTTTCATAGAGTAGAGACCAATGGCGGATGCAGAAAAATATATTGTAGGAGGCATGTAACATGTAACGATGTGTTGTGTGCAGGAAAGCGGAAGCAGCAAGCACCAAGCAGGAACCAGGAAGAAGCAGTGGCTGCACAACTACCGTGGAGTGGATGATGGTGAAGTCGTGGCCTCGTGGGAATTGGGATGGACCGGTGGAACTTAGAATTGGAAGACTAAATGAATTATGGACTTGGTAGTGGGGCCTTCATGATTATCTTATTGGGGGCCCAATCATATAAAAGTAAAAACTATAAGAAAAAAATTGGCTTTCTAGAATTTATTTTGTTGGGGGCCCAGGACCCAAATCCCTTCAACATGCATCTGCCACTGGTAGAGACTAGAAGTATGTAATGGTTTTCAAATTGTTGAGATACGCTAATATGTAAAGAAAAAGCTGTGAAAAAACTTGATGAAAAACATCAAGACAGTGGATGCTTTAAATACCTTGCAACTTTATTGCAATTTCCATAAAAGTAAAATCTTAAAATTATGGCCAAAACATCCTTTTATAAAGTTCAGGGGCCCAACTGTAATATCTGAAAAATGAAAGTTAAGATTTTGTATGTAACTATTTCTGGAGTAAATCAAGAAAGTTATGAATCAAAATCGTGGCCGGAATAGAATTTTAGAAACTTCAGGGGCTAAATTCTAAATTGTAAACCTCTAATCTTAAATTGGTTTCCCAGGGGGGTCCGAACGCTCCCCGGGTCCATCCCACGCTCTGCCTGGCCACCCGACCCACTACTGCTTTTGCAATTTCTTTGGCCCACCACCCGACAATCTAACACCCCCTTGTCCTTTGCCACTTGCCACCTAAATCAGGTTTGCTTCCATTGTTGTCGTATGTCAATTTAAGGGGCATTTTACCCAAGATATTAAGCTTTTACCATAAAATTTTAACTTAATTTATCATATAAAAATTTAATTTATTAAAACGACATCATATGCAACAATCTATTTGGTAAGTGCTTATCGTAAAAGTCATTATTCTCACTTACCATGTAAGACTATCGATCTTTGTCATCACTCTTACTGGATAATATTCTCAAGCTTCGTCATGTTCGGTAAGCTAACACCGGATAAGCGTTAGTAAACGGTCCTATAAGCTTTAATTTCGACGGGTTTTTTCACAAATCCATTTATCATTTAATTTTTTTTTAATTTTTCCTTGTTATATTGTAAATTCAAATAAGAAAGTTAAATATTGTGATATTAAAAGGATCTGAAAAATATTTATTTGAAATTGCATACGACGATACAAAATTTCATACAAATTCATATATACATCTTCAAATCTGTTTAATTTTTTGGGAAAAAATAATAACATATAAGCAATTTTATTAACAAAATTAAACTGGCCAATGTAAAAGCTCCCATAAATGCAACGGATACAATTTCTTTGCAAGAAATATGAAAACTACAATTACGTTATTCGATCGACTAGTTTATTCGGTAACACAAACATGAGTTTATTCAGAATCTCGTATTGCATTTTCGAGATCACCAACTTATCATCTTATAGAAGGGAACTACATATGATCGTCGTTGAGCTTATTTATGCCAAACTGCATATTGGTGCCCATGAACTGCGAGTTTCCACTCAGGACCTTTGGGACACCATGAACCGCTGCCAATTTTCATGCACAGTTTCTCTCCGATTATGGCTGCATAAAGATTGGCCTGAGCCTCAAGAATCCTAATGGAGGATCGGCTGGTTATGTCTTGCTGCTTACGAACATAGATCTGCATATTAGATTGAATTTGTAATATGTGAGGATGAAATGTAAAAAGGGAGATGATGACGTTGATCTGAATGCTAATGTACCAGCTTCACAATTTGGTCGTGAATGACACTGCCCCAGTCGTAAAAATGATCATAAAAGATTGACGGTATCCCTGGATGCGTGAGGATATATGCATAACCCTGGATAGCGTTGTTAAGTTAGATATCAAAACAACAAACACGAATACAAGAAAGTTTGTAACCACCACAAAAGCATCATGTGGAAGGCAAATTAAAAAACGGCCCTTTAATTGGATAGCTTAAGAGCCAGGTGCCCACGAGAAGCCTAATCCCCTAAGGAATTGTATCTCCCACACTCAAACCTTCGTCTTTTCATAGTATACCACCCTTTACCTCCATCCCAAAAAGAAAGTCCATGTTTTAAGTTTTTGGTTGTAGAGTAAGTTACTTTAACTTGGAACCAGTAAAACGTTTTTTTTTATAGAAAAGAAAGTGTTGCGTTGCATATTTCAGGCAACTTGACCATTACAGTCGACTATTAAGCATTGAATGCAAATTTAGAAGGCATTTCGACTCAAGCATCATATGAGTTACTCTCAACTTCAAAACAGAGAAGAACCTTTCTTTTATAGAAGAATCAGCGACCACTTTTAACCCTATAGAAAAGTATTAGATCAGATATATTCTAGAAAATAGAAAAACCAATTTTTTATAGACAGTAGTAGGATTGTATCTCCAAAGTCAAAAATTGACTTCTTTTCTGATGGGGTGACTGGCAAGTACCATGGACGGATGACGTTGTTTCACGCACCTACCTAGTATGAAATACACTCTAGCAAGCTCACGTACAAGAATCAAGGAAATGTGAAACTACGCAAACTAAATGAGCAAAAGAGCATATAGGCGGTATCTCTTATGAAGGCATATAAATAAATTCACCAAAGAAATGTTCCGTACCTCCATCACATGATCCGAAGGAAATGGCCAATGACGCTGTAACATGAAAAAAAGTTCATTAGCTCAGCAAATGTTCAGAGAACGAAAAAATAAAAAAACTTGAATACTACCAAACCAGAAGCATATGATAGATGTCTGGCCCTTGTGACCAACAAAAGCCCTATAAGAACATCCCAACATTGCTAAAAATCAACTTTGAACATGGAAAACTACTTGTATAGTTGAGTACAATTTATAAGAAGGCAAGAAGCAGTATTTGAATGGATATAGAGGAGTAGCATGAGAATGTTGATTAAAGGTAAGATTTACACGAACAAAAATGGGGTCGTTTCTTTAATGCTCTTGCGTCTAAAAAGGGGAAAAAGGTATTTGCTTTACCTCTTAGCATTTAGTACAATGCTTTTTAGTCGAGTTTATTTATTTGGCAATCAATTATATCGGTTTCAATCAACTTTTACCCGCAAGTCCTGATTTTCAGATAAAACATACATTTCTTGACAGCGTTGCTCTTAAGAGCATTTACATCATATCATTCTAACAAGAACAAAATGCTCAAATCACTTTTCTGTCGAAAAGCAGGCTCTGCAGACAAAATGGTTAGAGTTTGGGTAAATATTGCATGCACCAAAACTTCAAAAGCTTAATACCTGAGTTGAACCAGTGTCATGATTGTCAAGGAAAGTTACAGCTCTTGAAGGCCACCATCCCATTACACCTGGTGGTTTTCCTTGTGCATCACGCAGACGCCAAAGTTGCCCCTTAACAGCTTCCTGCATGGAAAGATGGACAATTACAATCGAGGTAAGAAACCACTTGAATTAGACTACCCATTTATCTAGCTGAAACTGATGAATTCAGATTAATCTACAACTTTTCATGCATAAGATACAAGTCACTGTAGAAGTATTTATGTGGGTATTGAATATTTTGCTCTGGAAATTGGTTTACGATAGATACATTATCACCAAATAAGCATGCCATCAGCTTATGATGAAATCTTAAATTTGAAAGGACCTAAGAAGTTTATACCAGAAACACGAGAGATAAGTTTCCACAGTAGATTTATTCATGCTAAAGAGTTTATCTAAATACAAAAAAAATGCTCTGGAAACCTGCAGAATCCCTTTTGTTGTGAAGTCAAATGCTGTTGAAAGCTGCCCTGTGGCATCAAGCCAATTGATAATACGCTGCCTATGACTATCTGCAAATAAAATTAGTTAGAAACAAAAACAATATTGCAGTAATCATAAAAATTGTCTTCCAAAAGATTCAAGTGAAATTTGTTCAGCCACAACTTTGTGAATACAAATTCAAAGTGAAAAAAGAAAAAAGAAAAAGAAAAAAGGTAATTTGGTACATGAATAGTTTAAAGGTTATTATCCTACAGAAAAAGTTTTTCCTAGCATCTCTTTTTTCGTTTGACACAAGAAATACCTACGGTCATCTTATTTGATAAATTATGCCATTTATTCATACTAAAGGAGTTTTTTTTTTCTGCGAGATATACCTTGGTTGTATTGCAGGTAGCTCCCGTTGTAGCTGCATGAGTCCCAGTATTCTCCAACAGAAAATATTGGCTTTGCGCCCTCAATGTATTCTTTCACATATTTCGCAGAATAACTGTATGAAAACATCAGTAAAACTGACAATTAATAACGATACGCTGCATATAAAAAAGTATGTAAAAAAGAATAAAAGGATTTATGGGACATTACCCTCTTGCAAAGTCAAAGCGGAAATCCTGAAAACCAACAGTCCGTAGCCATTTTAGCCAGCCAATGATGTCTTTTCGAACAAAGCCTTGTGTATGATCAATATTTGGAACCCCATGGAAGTTATCACCAGTGCTTGGGTTACCCTATAAGATAGTTCACACGTACAAACAACAAATGTCAATTACAGAAGAATAACTACCATTTACAGGCATTTAATTCTGTGGTGTGACAATTTGAGTATGTAAGCACAATAAACATGGGAGTAAACAATTCTTACACTATAATAAGCTTGCTATGGTCACAGAGAAGATATTAATTCTAAATACATACCAGGCCACCGGTACAAGATGTGACAGCACGTTCGTTCCACGACAATGGCACCCCATCATAGCGGTTATACCTTCCGCCATGCCCTTTGGTAGTCCCAACACGATGATTGATGACTATGTCAGCCATTGGTCGAATATTGTACTGCTTCATTTTGTTTAATAAAGCTTTCAGCAAAGAGTCAGAACCATATTTGGAATGGAGAGAATAGAGGTTCTGTGGAAGATAGCCTGTGAAGAGGGTGGTAAGGGTTAGGAAAGATTAGAAAGTAACAATATATCTCTACATTGTTGCTAGATTCTGTTTTTCGGACCTTCAGAAGAATATGAATCAGTTGCTGGCGGCAACCAAGCTGATGTAATCCCAGACTTTGCCATATCGGGTACTTTCTTCTCCAAATTTCTCCACCAGTCATGTTTACAGGACTCCCAGTTGAAAGCCTGAAAATTCACAGATGTTGCATCAAAACTTGTTTTGATTAGTTCAACCCTAAGCGAACCCTGCCTTCGTCCCCATTATTTTGAATTAGTCTGTTTCATGTTAAAAAAGGAAAATAATTTCCATCATTGTAACAGCTGACTCATTGTAATGTACGTCACATTTTTGTTAGAGCAAAGCATCATAAATACTACCATATGTAATGTAAACGAAAACTATACCCCATACTTACCTGCAATATGATTTCTCTTCCATTGTTTATCACTGCCAAATAAAAGTAAATTTTTTAGCTAGGGTGATTACTAATAATTATCGTAAAGAAGAAACAGATGTTAATCTACAGCAAATAGAGCATACCGGTTTGTGTTTGCTGAACACCATCATCATGGTCCTACAATGGAAAAAAAAGGGACGATGAGACAAAGAAGCGAGAAGAAGGTAGTCCATTGCAAAAACAAAAAGGTTGTTATAATATGTATAATATATTTTTAAGCATCAATCAGCTAACAAATAATTAAACTGAATTGAAGGAGAAGCTGAAGTAGAACGCTTACGTTTCCATGGAAACCCATCTTATATAGCTTTCAAATACTGTTAACTTTATGAGGCTTGATCAATGAAAACGAGTGAGAAGATATATCCTGCACCCATAATCAAACTTGTTATGCAATTCATGCACCTACCAAATTTAGTTTCGAGAACCAACCTAACATACTCCATTCACTCCACAAGAAAACTCCACCTTTCACCTCTTGAACTTGGAAGCCAATTAGACTATTATTCAATCTTAGAATTGATATGAATCATTAAGTGTACTCCATCCACTGCGGAAAAGAGTCCGTTTTGACTATGATTACTTTTCAACCTCAGAATTGATCTGAATCATTTAGTTCTCGAGAGGGGCATAGATAAGTAGATAACCACATACGGATTAGTAGTGTAGCTGGTGCTAAAATATAAATGAAAGTATGAATTTTGACTTCCAAAATGTCAAAATGTAAGACTGTTTGGAACAGAAGCACTGTTTGTCAAAGTGAAAATCATAAATTATATGGGAAAATTTTATTTGAAACACTGTTTACCCTGGTAAGTCAAATCAAAATGCATACATATAGGCCAAGCAACACAAGTATACATAAGTACGGACTTCAATTGTGGAGTAGAAAGAGCACAAGTTTCACAAAGTACAGAATTGGACAATCGATCCAAGCAAGAGAAAAGATCGGGAAATTACCTGAAATCAAATCAAGTCGTACAATGAACCCTAGCAAATTCAATCGGGGGTGAAACTCAACACCACCTTGCATTACAAACCCCACGCCATCCTCGTATTTATACGATGGACGAAAAGCAAACGAGTAAAATGCTATAGATTCTTCACAACTGGAATGAAATCTTTCCATGAGCAAAGATTCGAGTTGAAATAAGGAGGAGAAGATTCGTGTTACTAGGGCTTGTGGTGAATTTCAATTTGGAGATTTAGCGCATTTGTGATTCGATGAGCAATAGTTTTTGGGCGCGAATGTTGGTTGACGATTGATCATGAACCCTTCCTTCTTCCTCCTCTTTACAACTATCCCTTTTCCTCCTTTTTTACAGGAATATAATAAACGGAAAAAATATGAAAAGAACTAAACAGATTTACATATTTTTTAGCCGTTGAATACTTGACATGTTTTTTAAATAATAAAAAATTGAATGAAATAAAATGATGCTCTCGCACGTAAAAATGATTGAAAATGGTTAAAACATTGATTCGATAGGGGATCGTTTATTTAAATGCTTACTAGATAAGTGTTTACCCTTAAGAGTCAACATTATAATTTATTTTATCGAATAAGATTGTAGTACATCAAACGTATCTTATATAACAATTTACCTGGTAAACGCTTACTTGGGTAAGAGTCGTCACCCTTACTTACAGGGTAAGACTCTCCATTCTTATCATCGCTCTTACCGGATAAGATTCTTGCCCCTTGTCATGTTCATTTGGTAAGAAAAATTGTCCCGTGAGTACTTACCGGGTAAGCGTTTAGTAAACGGCTCCTAAATCATAATAATTTTGATAACTTATATATCATGTGTTATTTTATATATTCTTTTTTAATTTAAGATTATAATTTAAAATGTTGATTAATATATATATATTTGTTTCATATGTACTCGGTTACAATGTCAACATTTTTTATGGATTTGGTCCTTGACTTAAAAAAGTTAATTAAAAAATATTTTTAATAAAGAAAAAATGGAAAAAAAACGCTTACGCCTTCAACTTTAACGGACCTGGTAGACAATAGTTAGGCCGAATGACCAAATCCAACAGAAAATACATATCACAGGCACCAAAATTAGGCATGGAATTGGCCCCGACCCGTCGGGGAACCCGGTACACCCACCCCATTCCCTGTTAAACCGGGTCTCAGGATGGGGATCCTCGTTTGGCTCAAACCGAGGATGGGGACGGGGACGGGTATCACACTCCCCGCCCTACCCCATACCCGTATATATATTAACTAATAAAATGTATTATATATTATTTATTTATATTAAATCAGTAAATGTTAACTTTTGTTTCAATATATTTTAGATATTATTAGATGTGGTTTTCGATATTACTCAATATGTTTTTGTACATGTGACGTTGATTTTTTTAGATTAAAATTTAATTTATTTTGGTTTTCGATTTTTAATTATTATATGATGATGTACATTTTTTGTATTAAATTAAATTCCTTTTGATTTTTAGGTTTATTGAAAAAATGTAAAATTTAAATATGTGTAGCATCTACACATTTGATTTTAAAAAAACTTACACATACAGGAAAAAAGATCATCATTTCCTCGTTGGGGATGGAGATGTGATCAAATTACCCAACGGGGATGGGGATTGGCACGGGGACAAAGATGGGGGATCAAGGATGGGGATTGGTGTTCCCTCCTCATTACTGATGTACATTGAGAATTCAATGTACAGACCACTCATTTTATAAGTTTTTAGTTAGTTTATTTTAATTTGATCCATATTTTGAATCATTTTATTACTTCACTTTTTCCTTTATTAATTATGGAGCTAAATATGTGATTTACTTGTTTCTACACCAATTTTAGTCTAATATAAAAAAAATGTTGGACTATTTGGTGCTACAACAGTCATGCGGTTGAGATTTTGTGTTTTTTTGGCTTTGTGAAGGACTTAATGGGATAAGCTCTTAGATCTTCTTGTTTCTAGAAGCCTTGGAGTTGAAGAATTTTTGTGATTAAAGATTGTTAAACTTTTGTTTAGAATATGTCACTATCTACTTTCTCTAATTGTACTTTAGGCTAGCTTTTGATGGTTTTGTCCATAAGTTAATCCTTTTGTCTTTTTGTGCCCTATTTTAGCCTAAATAGGGGAGATGAACTCTTGTATTTATCATCCCAAAATCAGCTCCTAAGTTGATTTCTCTATCTAAACTTTGGAGAAGTTTAAGTTTCTTAATTACTCTTAAGATTGTTCTTGACTTTTCGTCATTGACTTTCCGCTATTTACATTGGGTCATTTATTTTTCGCAATTTATATTTATGTCTTTATTTTTCATTATTTATTTTACTTGTCATTTATTTTCCATTATGGATGGTGAAACTAACTTATGGCTAACTGCTTGTTGTAGCATCCTCTACAGCATTGTCTGTTGGAATTTGTGTTTGAGTTTCATCACAAGTCTTACACCCATGCTATCTTTGTTTATTATGTTATTTGCATTTATTAACTCAGCAACAAATCAAAGTCTTCAAATTCATCATCTGAAATAATCTCTTTCATTAGACTTTTTGCTATAATTTATGTGCACGATAAACCGATATTTTTACTACTTTATTACTTTAAAAAAACGATATTTAACCATATTGTATATTTACTTTGTGGTTCATATCATTTGTCTAAAGGTGTGTAAAACCTTCTACCAATTACCATACCTAACCAAAACCATAATAAATGAAGCATAAGGAGGATTTACAATAAAAATCTACAATCAATAGAGACCAAATCCATGATTTACTTTTAATTCAATTATTTAACTGAACAATTATTCACACATGACAACATTTATATATCCATCTCTTTCTCTATATATCTATATATATATATAGAGAGAGAGAGAGGTCCATTCAAGAAAGAACTGATTAGTTTGTAGTAAGCATGAAATACAATGTGAACCACTTATTTGAGATATTTAAAGGCATTTCTTAAATAAGCTAAAAGAGTAATATAGTAATTCTACTTTTGACAACTAATTAAAATAGTTAATTAAACTTTTTAGAATGAAATATTTAATTAAAACTAGTTACCTAGTATATCAATTACCTAATATACATTATATTTTAAAGACGTTTGTGAATCAAAGTGTATCATAGTGCCAACATTCACAAGGATTCACGTGTATCACAATGTATTTTTCTTTGTTTTATGAAATGTATCTTAATGTGTATTTTAGTTGTTTTCATTGATTTACAAAGGGTATCACGTTGTGCATCTTCTATTTATATATGGGTGTCACAATGAATATCGTTTGTAAGTATCACAGTGTGTATCTTGTGTTCACATAAGATTTATTGGAATAAGGTTCGTCGAATAAGATTCACCGAGGAGAGAAAAAAAATGAGAGATGAGAAAGCATATTTACAAAATCCTTAAAATGCCTATAATTAATATTTTAAGTTAAAATTACCAAAATTATTAATTCTCTCTCTCTCTCTCTCTATATATATCTATACTATATTATAAAGCATTTGGCTAAAACTCTTAAAAACTCTTAAAACTCTTAAACCCGTTCATCCCTAAACAATTTCATCCCTATTTGATTTCATCCCATAACTGAATTCGTGTAACTAACTG